ATTTGTAAGTTTCCTTGTGTGTTTAAAGTTTTTGTTAAATTTTCTGAACTGAAACAAAGCTGATATTATTTTTATTCCTGTGTCTGTATATCCGAAATCTCAATTAAGACCTACCTGTTCAATGCTTCATTAAGAATTGTCTTGGTTTGAATTTGGAATTTGGAGTAGTAGAAGAAATTATCCACTAATCAAATTGTTTTGAGTAGTGGATGACTTGTGACTTTACCTTGATGCAGTATAATATTTATAAGACAAATATTGCTTGACTTGAGTGTGAGGTAGAAAGGTTTGAGAGATCAGGCGATTTACTGCTATCGTGGTTGTATGTGACCTGCAGCTTCTGACACAATAGTTTTTACATCATAAGTTTTGTATTTTCTCTGTTACGTATTCAGAGTGAAATAGCTATGATGTTTGCTTAACACAACATAATATTTGTTGAAGGGGAAATTTTGTATTTCTACTTCTTTTTTATAATAAAGTATTTAGGAAGGGTTTACTCAGCCCTTTGTACAGTATTTATGAATGCTTGCCTTTATACACTTGCTGTAGTCTGTTTTTCTAGGTTGAATTGGGGTTTTCTGTAGGGAGCCCTGTCGGCTCCCTGAAGCTAACCGAACTGATATGTGCTGTATTAGTTTGGGGTCATCAATCATATGAATCCTTATGCCTACCGGGTACCACGAGCCAGAACCTGGCCTCCTCAGAGAGGCGCAGGGAGCAATGGCCTTTGAGCACTTTACATTTAAAGTACAGTATGTCATAATTGCCTTCGACCGGGGAAGGACCCAGAAATGTAGACAAATCAAAACAGACCACTGTTTCCTCTCATTAGCGCTACCCTCCTGTACAGTACAGTAGTACATTGGAGCCTCGACTTATGATGCTAATCCGTTCCCAGAGACTGATCGTAAGTCGAAATATCGTGAGTCGAAGCGATTTTTCCCATAAGATATAAAGGGAATTGAATTAATCCATTCCCCGCCCTCCAAAATATTAACATACAAATACATTTTATACTGAATACAATGTTTTTTTCTAACTACAATACAGTACCTAAGTTTCTCTTACCTTTATGGAGGGCTCTTGATGGCATATGGAAGATGGTGATGAGAGGGGAGGAGGAGAGTTGTTACTGTTTGGAAGGAGAGTCCCCTTCCATTATCACATCAGGCAGTGATGTTTTCTCTGGGGTACTCTCTCTCTCCTACGTTTTGCCTGAATACCACTAGGACCTGGTTGTGGTTCAGTGCTTGTTTGTCTCACTACAAATTTGTCAAGAGACCTTTGTTTTAACATTTGTCTGTAATGATGCATCACTTTAGCACCCATAATGTCCTTTTTCTTAGCCAATATGGTGGATATCGTTGAGTGAGATTTGTTGTACTGCCTAGCCAGTCCAACAACCCGCACACCATCTTCATATTTACGAAGGATCTCTTGTTTCTGCTCTATGGTCTTCTTTACATGAGATCTCATATGTTGAGCCTTACCACTGACTTTCCTGGGACTCATGGTGTGATATATAATAATTACTTTATTGTTCAAAATGCAAAAAATCACCACAAAAGCGAAATTTCTTATAGGCGCGATCGTCACTAAGCGGGCAGCTGTAGTAAACTGAGGCAGGTCGGCCGTGTGACCGGGAACCACACGCTCGGTCGACTCGAACGTGTACCAACAAATATCGTAAGTCGACAACACCATCGGATGTCGAGTCGCATTTTTCGATGAAATTTACATCGTAACTCGAAATTATCGTAAATAGGGGCAATCATAAGTCGAGGTGCCACTGTACTTGGTTGTAAAAATGATTCTTCGCAGGGATCATATTCCAGGGAACATAGAATTAAGGACTTTCCCGAAAAGCTGCACGTACTAGTGGCTGTACAAGAATGTAAGAACTCTTGTACCTATATATAAATAAAAAAAATAATAAGCCTAATGCAGACAATAGCCAGAATCTGGTCCACTCCAAGAGGAGCAGGGACCTGGGAATACTAGATCAACCCAAGCCAACAGGAAATAAACCACCAGAAGGATACAGAGCTTTAAAAAATACAACTGCAAGGAAGAATTAGCAACACTAACAACCAGGAATACAAACGTTAGGCCATTACCACAACAACTTACAACACCCTTCCCACCACCTCCTTCCAGGGTCTGACCGATGATATCAGATCAGATCTATGCCATCCAAACCAAAAAATGTAGAGTGAGAGTAGGGAGCCACCAAGGGTGGCCCACCAGAAGAGGCATTTCAGTACATTAAATGCTGGGTTTCTAACCAAAACCTTTTGGTGGCTCCCTGGTGCCATCTCACCATAGAGAAAAGAACAAAAATGAGACCAAAAATTATCTGAGTGGATGCTAACTGTAGTCAAAACAACTAAGCCTAAAGGTTTAGTACTGTAGTTTTGTCTACATCCAGTATTGGCCATTTATTTTCCTCACTGTAATGTCTTGAGAATTTTCTGTCCTGTCAGTATGGAATTTATCCTGAAGGGAAATGCTTTAACCACCGTGCTGTGCTGAGTTTATTGTGAAATTCCCTCTGTGCACTTGAAATAATGTGTTCCAAAAATTCTTTTTTTCTTGGTAAAATGATAAATTCCCTTCCCTGAACATGTCTATGTAAAAGTAAATACCAAATTCCACTTACTTTTTCTGTGGGGACATGGACATGGTGCGCTGTAACGTCATCAGGGGGCTGGTCGCCCATGCGTGACTCACCCAGACACGGTCGCGCGAGCCATTCAAGCACCGGGTATTGCCACAAATATATTTTCAATTATTTGTTCTTTTATCGTATTTTTGATCGTATATGATGCATATTTGTGTCCTGTACAATATGTATACAGTAGAATGTTCATAATGTTCCATGAAACTGTGATACATGTGTCAGTAATGTGTCCACAATAAATGTTTATTGTCACAATATTACTTGTTAAAAATTCACTAAAATTGCAATATGTACAGTTTCACACACTATTTACACAGTAACACACTGTATTACACACTCAGTACTTTGGAAATGAGTAACAATCAACGAAGTAGTCCATGGTACACAGCGCGACCTCGCTCTAGTTGCACCAGGTACAGATAAATTTTCGCTTCCTGTTTCTTCATTATGTGTGCTTACAAATAACACACTCACGTACACCCTTGGCATCAGTACCTGTAGGTGGTATGTAGCCAAGCTTGTAAAACATAAGGTAGTCTTGAAAAGATTACAGGAAAAGATCAATTTGTAAGGTAGTCGTGAAAATATCGCTTTGTAACAACCCACACAGGAAGAGATTCAGCCAGCCTCAAAGAGTGTCCATCAGTCAAGAGGAGATTCAGCTATTCTTGAAAATATCTATGGAAAACACCACCATGGAAGCCACTGACACTGTTCATCTATACTACTTGTATCAGATGCATCATCTCTGAAAGCAGAAAACGATTCATCTATGAATCATCTAAATAAATTGGAGATAACAGGTGGGCTAGGGTGACGCTCAGAGCTACAACTGGATATGCTCGCTGTATCCTCCTCATAAGTGCTGTATCACTTGCATCCGACTTTTGTGTTAGGTTCTTATTGTGCCTAGCTTCACCAATATTATGACCCTTACGTTCTTCAAACAATAAGGTTTGAATTTCACCAACAGAGCGCAATCTTTCAACACTGCGTTAGACAGGTGTTTGGGAGCCAGAGGCACATGCGCCACCCATGGTTGCTCACTCAATACTAACCCAGCCAGCAGCCCTAGGGCATTCTGGGAATTTTTTCCAAGATGGCTGCCTCTCACTGGAGGTCCTAAGAGTCCATTTCGTACACAACCAACCTCGCACACATTTAGAATGGGTAAAAAAAAAATTCAAAAAATAAAATGTTTCCCTCCGACCGAGAATACTCGGTTGACGCAGTTAAGTGGTTAACCTTTTACTTACTCATATTGATTTGATAATTTGATTTGACTCTAAAAATTACTCCTGACTGACAGTCCATGCAAGGTTAATCTTGTGCAAAAACTTCCCAACCTTTTGCTATTATAGCGAATGGTGTTGGTATTATAGAAAAGTAGAGTACTGCATTGGGTAATGAGGCTTAAAAATCATTTGTTATGAGCTACTCCAATGGCACATGAACTTGTGTCAGCTGGTCGCAACACACATCAGCAGGCAAAGACTAAAATTGTTGACTGCCGTCATATGTTGAAATAAACACACTGAGACCATTTTTATCTGCTTATCCTATAATAACTGATTTTTAAAGCATTTTGATGTGTGTTTGTCAAATCTCAGAAGAACTGTGAAATGAAGAACATATAAAAAAAAAATGTGTGGAGCCCTCTACCAAGCCTCCAGACATCCTCCAGCCAAATATGAAAATGGAAAATAATTGTTGCCAGACTGTAGATAGGGTGTACATACAAGAGTTGGGTCAATGACAGTTAATGTAACATGAAGATCAGCCTTCAATTGAAAAGGCTCTGTGGTGTTAACAATTAGACATTTATATATTGAATGTACAGAATATAATAAAACTAGGAGAACAATATTTGACAGCATTTTATATATACTGTACTGTACAGTACTGTACTGCATATTCTCACTAACCTTTTTACTAGCAACACCAGACACCAGTTTACTACTGTTGATGATGTAGAGTTCAGATAGCCTTCCAAACCTGAGAGGTATGACAGTGATTGTAGTGTGTGAAGGGAAAAGCAAAGGAAACATTGCTGAGAGAGAAGTGTGATACAAGTGATGTAATATGTAAAGTGCATGAGGCAGACACCCAAGTGGATGGGAGACTCCATATAATATAAATAACTCTTAGTAAAATATTTGTAGTGATGTCAACAACATCATATAGACATGAAGGTGTTAGATTTGTCTGAGTAAATGAATACAGTATATACAAAGCTGTACATATAAAGCAAATGAGAAGCTGAAATGAAGTCCTCTTCAGTATGTAACTTCTAACTTTGCATAACTTTATATTTCAGTAAGTGGCAGTGGAGTTACAAATACAGTGGGTTCAGGTAGCGGCAATGTTGGTGGGGGCAGCACTGTGACGAGTGGCACCACTACAGGCTTGGCCCCCGGCCAGGTCACGTATCTCACCTCAGCTGTGTCTGGTAGTGGCACTACTACTGGCCTCACTCTCCATCATGTACAACAGGTAAGTTGTCATATGCCTGTTTCCATAGTAAGAGGGGGGTTTTCATGGAGGCTCCAGTATATTTCAGACTACCATACCTATAGTGGACTTTGATTTGGAAAAAATGTAATCATATTCAGTTATAGGGAGTGAAGGATAATCCTGGACTGCATATTTAAGCAAAATGATTAACACAGTCAGTTCACAATTGAATGGTTCAAGTTTCAGTTTTCCTGTAGGATAGAGACATTTGGACACATTTCCTTTCACCTGATGCCTGTGTTCACCTAGCATTAACTAGGTACTCAGAAGTTAGGCAACTGTTGTAGGTTGCATCCTGGGGAGTGGTCAGGTTGCATCCTGGGGAGTGGTCAGGTTGCATCCTGGGGAGTGGTCAGGTTGCATCCTGGGGAGTGGTCAGGTTGCATCCTGGGGAGTGGTCAGGTTGCATTCTGGGGAGTGGTCAGGTTGCATCCTGGGGAGGGGTCAGGTTGCATCCTGGGGAGTGGTCAGGTTGCATCCTGGGGAGTGGTCAGGTTGCATCCTGGGGAGGGGTCAGGTTGCATCCTGGGGAGTGGTCAGGTTGCATCCTGGGGAGTGGTCAGGTTGCATCCCGGGGAGTGGCCAGGTTGCATCCCGGGGAGTGGCCAGGTTGCATCCCGGGGAGTGGCCAGGCATCCCGGGGAGTGGCAGGTTGCATCCCGGGGAGTGGCCAGGTTGCATCCCGGGGAGTGGCCAGGTTGCATCCCGGGGAGTGGCCAGGTTGCATCCCGGGGAGTGGCCAGGTTGCATCCCGGGGAGTGGCCAGGTTGCATCCCGGGGAGTGGCCAGGTTGCATCCCGGGGAGTGGCCAGGTTGCATCCCGGGGAGTGGCCAGGTTGCATCCCGGGGAGTGGCCAGGTTGCATCCCGGGGAGTGGCCAGGTTGCATCCCGGGGAGTGGCCAGGTTGCATCCCGGGGAGTGGCCAGGTTGCATCCCGGGGAGTGGCCAGGTTGCATCCCGGGGAGTGGCCAGGTTGCATCCCGGGGAGTGGCCAGGTTGCATCCCGGGGAGTGGCCAGGTTGCATCCCGGGGAGTGGCCAGGTTGCATCCCGGGGAGTGGCCAGGTTGCATCCCGGGGAGTGGCCAGGTTGCATCCCGGGGAGTGGCCAGGTTGCATTCTTGGGGTGGTCAGAAAGCAAAACCATTAAGAGTCATTGACTGTTGCATCATAGTTTTAGATTTGTGATGTGCTCGTGAAAGCGCAGCTATTATCTGGCAGATGGAGTGTGCCACACACACATTAAAACTAGTCCCAAAATAATAGCACAATAAATAGAATTTTAACAAATATTTTAAAATTTTGACCAAAAACGTATTTATAATCTTTCAAGTGTTCTGGCATCAGGTTTCGTGTTACATCTTTCATTTTGGTATCAAATTGTGCGCACTCTAAGGGCGCTTATTTTGAAACTATCCCGAAGTCGATCGGATAAAAAATGAATTTTATACAAATATTTTTGTATTGGACGTGAGCTCTGTCCACAGCTAGGACACGAGAGAAAAAACATGGACGTGAGCATCGTCCACAACCATCGATACTGTTAATAAAAAAAAGACAGTAAAATAAAACTGCTTTTGCGGCATGAACTTGTCCTTTTACGGTGTGAATAGTTTGCTGGGAAACACAAGAGATAATAAACATTTCAATTGTTTACTTAAACAAATAATGATAAACTTTATACAGAATAATATTAAGCAGATAATGATACAAAACACTAAAACATGGCCTAACTCTTATCAAAGACAAATGAATATTTTATGTTACTTTACTGTGACTGTACAGTTATTACAATTGCTCTGAGCGTCCTCCGTCACACGTCATAGGCACGTCGAGTGAGGGAAGATACAAAAGACCCAAATGAGCACTAGATGTAGTCTGAGACTCCAGGCCACCGGCAGGTGCTTATATACAGCGGTAGTGACGTCAGGCCGGCTTGTAGTGGGGTCTGGAACGATGAGCTGGCAGAGTAGAGGTTGTTAGTTGGTGGTGAAGTGTGAGCCGACAAGCATCGGGTGGGCAGCTTTCGTGGGATGGCAAAGGGGGGGTGCATGGTCAAAACGTTTCTGTGCGTATGACTGGCGGTTATTGATGTTGAATCTGGTATATGAGTAGCATACTGGTGTAAAAGGCAATAGGAAGTGGCAGAATCCACTGCTATGCAAGTGATATCCATAATAGATTTCATTATAGAAATAAAAGAGGGAGTCAAACAAAGAAGCAGGCTACACGAGTGCAAGACAGAGGAGGAGACCAATGGAGAGCTGGAGCCTACCTGCAGGAGGTTCAATGGGAAGCAAATTCAGCAAATGTTATGATGAAATTCATATCACAGTAATGCTCTATTAGAAGCAAAGGAACAGTGAATCTCAGCCTCTGGAGGGAAGTGGATGAGAAGAGAATAGTAAATCCATGTTTTACAGACAATGCAAAGCAGTAAAGATAAAAAGGAGAAAATCAGTTGGAGGCATTAGGAGGATTCGAACCCACTAATCTGGTACTTTTAAGCTAGTGCCCTAGACCACCATGCTACAACCTGGTCAAAAGTAATGCAACTTGATATTCCACTGAATCCCCAAGGATTCATAAGGCTTAAAACTGAAGCCCAATTAGGGTTTTAAGTACTGTATTGCCCCCCCATGCAGCTTGCCTAAAGGTTCAGTACTTCTCCTCCAATGCTTCCTATTAAATGAACAATGAAATCATATTTGTGATGTATCAATGCGAAAATTAACAAGAACAAACGTGGAGGTATTTAAGACAAAAATGGATAGTTTTCTTCAAGAAGTGCCAGTCCAACCAGGCTGTAGTGGATACGTGGACCTGCGGGCCACTCCAAGCAACAGCCTGTTGAACCAAGCACTCACAAATCAGGTCAGGTTGCAACCTTGATTTCGACAACCGCATCCTTCATCCTTGGGGAGTAGGATGAAGGATGAGTAGAAGAACTCATTGGGGAGTAGAAGAACTCCCAGAACCCCACCAAGGTAAAGCCATGAGGAGAATTCGAACCTACTCGCCTGATACTCCCAAGCTAGCTACCTAGACCTCCACACCACAACATTGTCAAAAGCAATGCATCTGGGATTCCCAGGTTGCACTGTGTAACCTGCATTCCCAGGTTGATTGTGCACGTAAAAGAAAAGACAAAGTAGGCATGGGAAAAGGTACAAGGGCCTGGCAACAGAGGCACATAGGAGAGCACTTAAGAGGTTCTGGAAAAGTGTACACCAGAAACAGGAGGGCAGCTGAGCAGCTGTTTGAAAATGACATTTGTAACAGAAGCAAAGAACCAACCTAAGCTATTGCTTATCCATAGGAAGGCTATTTATAGGCTATTGCTTATCCATACACAGAGGAAATCACAGAATGAAATCATTTGATCAGACTGCAGGAAAGAGAGGAACACCCTTGAAGAATGATAAATGTATTTGAAGAACTCAATAAGCAATTCCAAGTATTCTACAGATACAGCAGCCAGTACTCATTGCACCACCTTATGATGGTTCTGGGAATCAGTGTTCCCCATGACCTGGTCTCTGACCAGGCCTCCTGCCTGGTGGTGTAGTCAACCAGGTTGTTAGTTGCTCACAATCTGACATGTGAATCACAGCCTGGTGGATTAAGAATTCTTTGGAGGTGTTTAAGTTCTCTTTTGAACACCAACCTATACTCACTACAGTATACAAGATTGTACAAGATCCTGATCGGAATGGATAAAATGGATAATGTAAGCCTATTGAAATTAAAAACAGGTAGGACAAGAGGGACATCAGTGTAAGCTGGATATGCAGTCGAGGCAAAAAGATGTGAGGAAGTTCTTGTGCCCTGTATGGGTGGTATAAAAGTGGAATGCATTGAAGGATGAGCTTGATGACACCAATTCCATCCACAACTTTAAAAAGAAATACAGGTATGATAATTTTTAATAAGGGTAATTAGCACACCAGGTATCAATGGCAAAGGCAGGGCATAATGATCTACCGATATTTCTCACTCCTCTGTAATCACTGATACGTAAGCACACCAGCCCATACTCTCAACACCAGCCCATACTCTCAACACCAGCCCGTGCTCACAGCATCACCCTGTGCTCACAACACCACCCTGTGCTCACAACACCACCCTGTGCTCACAGCACCACCCTGTACTCACAACACCACCCTGTGCTCACACCACCACCCTGTGCTCACACCACCACCCTGTGCTCACACCACCACCCTGTGCTCACAACACCACCCTGTGCTCACACCACCACCCTGTGCTCACACCACCACCCTGTGCTCACAGCACCACCCTGTACTCACAACACCACCCTGTGCTCACAACACCACCCTGTGCTCACAGCACCACCCTGTACTCACAACACCACCCTATACTCTCAACATCAAGGGCACTGTTCTCTGGTGGGGTGTGAGCACTTGAATGGTGTCTTTGGATATCCAGGACGTTTATTGGCACGTCTCGATTCATCCAGGGTTCAGGAACTGGCTCCGTTTTGTTGTGGGACGTCAAGGTTACTGCAATTGTTGCCTTCCTTTCGGCTTAAATCTGGCACCTCGCATTTTCAAACGCCTTACCCGGGTCGTGGTGGCCCGTCTGCATCTCTTAGGGGTTTGGGTTCTGGCCTATCTCGACAACTGGCTGGTGTGGGCTCCCAGCCAGTCTACATGTCTGCTCGCCGGGGATTTGGTTCTTTCCCAGCTCGCCGGGTTCGGGTTCCTGGTGAATTGAAGGAAGTCCCATCAGGTTCCCTTTCAGGTTCAGTCTTGGCTGGATCTTCTGTGAGACACACGGACCGCTTCCCTGTCTCTCCCTCCGGAGTCTCTGCTTCGGCTGCAGTCCCGCCTTTTTCTGGGGGCTCCCGGGTCACCCGGCAGTTGCTCGAGGGTTTGTGCGGGAGCCTGAACTTTGCCATGATGGTCTACCCCCTGGGTCGGGTTTGGCTTCGTCAGCTATTCTGGTTCCTTTTGGGACGTTCCTTCCGCTTCTCTCGCGATCGCTGGGTTTGGCCTCCGGGTGCCTTGCATTGGCTGCTGAATCACTGACTTCCTCTTCGGATTTTTCAGGGTTCAATGCCTTGGCGCCTACCCGAGCCCTTGCTCGATGTGTTCATGGATGCATCGTCTCTTGGCTGGAGCTTTGTGATCAGTGCTCACCAAGCCGGCCAGGGACGATGGGGTCCGGTCTTCCATTGGGCTCACATCACGGTGCGGGAGTTTGCAGCGGTGTGGATGTCACTTTGGAGGGTTCGGGGTCACTCACGGATCAATGATCCAGCTCCATTCGGATTGCTCCCCAGTGGCTCATTGCCTGAACTGAGGGGGTTAAATGCAGTCCTTGGCAATCTGGGACTGGTTGCTTTGGGTGACTCATCTGCCGAGTTCTCGGGGTTTCTTTCTCCTGGCTGTTCACGTTCAGGGGGTGTCCAACATCCTTGCAGACGGCCTCTCATGGTTCATTCCCCTGTTCACGGAATGGACGGTCGACGCCGACTCATTCAGTTGGCTCTGCCAGATGTACGGGCTCCCTGAGGTGAACCTCTTCTCATCGGAGTGGTCGAGGCGTCTTCCATCATATGTGGGCGCCCTTTCCCGACTGTGAGGCTGTCGGGGTCGCTGCCTTGCCGCAGGACTGGTTGGGGTTACCTGTACCTCTTCCCTCCGGTTCAGATGTTGCTCCAGGTCCTAGCTCGCTTGGAGACTTACCAGGGGAGAGTAGTCCTCTTGGCTCCTTGGTGGCCGGCCTAGAATCGATTTCAGGTGGTGATTGCTCGGTGTCAGAACCCGGGGGTCTTCCCACAGCTCCGTCTCTTTCAGCAGGTCAGTCCATTACGTAGCTGGTTCGACCTTTTCAAGTCTTTGCATCTGGTCTTTCTGACTCGAAGTCTATCACTACTTGCATGGTGAGCAGGTGGCTTCATTGATGGTGTCCCACCTGCGTGCTTTGTCTTGGCGGCAGTATGAAGTTTCCTGGCGGTCCTTCCATTTCTTCTTGTCCTTTCGTAGGTTGACTTCGGTTTCCAATAGGGTTGTCTTATCGTTTCTCTCGTGGTTGTTTCAGGACCGGCATCTTATGCTGATTACTGTCGCCTCGTATCGTGCAGTGCTGGTGGAGCCGCTGCAGCTTGTGTTCGGCATTGATGTTGCTTCTGCACCGTTTCACAAGCTGTCTTGTGCGTTGTTTCACCTCCAGCATGTTCATGCACCATCTGAGCCGTCCAGGTCTTTGGACCGGGTGCTTTCTTATCTCTCTTCCCCTCGGTTTGTAGTGGCCCCTTCGGTTCAAGATTGTTTCTCCAAGGCCTTTTCCTGTTGGCATTGGCCTCTGGGGGGTCGGGTCAGGGATTTTCATGCTCTCCTTGTGCTCGGGGGTTTCTGCTCTTTTTGGTCCTGGTGGTCGGTTTGTTCGGTTGCAGTCGTCTCCTTCTTTTCTGGCGAAGAATGAGACTGCTGCTTTCCGGAGGAGTCCTTGGGTCGTTGATGCTTGGTTGGTTAGGCCGGGGGTGCATCATGTGTTGTTTCCGGTTGTGGCTCTTAGCCGGTTTTTGCACCCCGCAGCCTCCTTGACCGGGAACGCGCTTTGGGTTGACCCGGTTTCCCTTCTTCCCTGTTCCAGGGTTCGGGTTTCCCAGGTCATTCGCAGGGTTATTAGGTCCAGCCAGCCTGCGGTCTGTCCTCATGCCCACGACGTTTGTAAGTGCTGTGCTGGCTTCGGTGACATGTCTTTGGCTGACATTCGAGCACAGGATTTTTGGAGGTCAAACAGGGTCCTGGCTGCTCAATACCTTGTCAGTGTTCCCGGGCCTGGTTGGGCCTGTGTTGCATTGGGTCAGCGGTTGCAGCCAGTTGTCTCGACTTTGCGTTGAGAGGCGAGTGCCGACCACCTGCCGGGAAGTCCCCTCTTGTTTTTGTCTTTTAGTAAGTAGCTCCGGGGAGCGGAAGGGGCTCCCCCCAGAAAACCAGCATCGAAAGTAATGAAACGCCATTTTCTGGGTGAGACCCAGAGGCTCCCTGGCAACCCTCCCTCTCTCCAGTCAGCGGTTTTTGACATCCAGCCTCAGAACTGTGGGGTGGATAGCCGGCGTGAGGGTTGGGTCTGGGGCTTCCCCCTTTTCCCTCTCAGGAAGGGGGGTTGCACAGACAGTAACGTGGTGACATCATGCTTGTTTGCTCGTTTTCCTTTTGGGCATTCTGTCCAATAGTTCGGCTTTCAGTAGCAATATTTTAACCAGAATAGGGGTTTGTTTTGGGGTACTTGCCCTTCTGGGTGCCTGACCCGGTCAATGGCAGACATGGAATGCTTCCAACCACATGGGGGTTTCCATAGGCCATGCTCCTCATGCCTCACTGAGAGGGCCAGGTTGTGGCTCGTGGTCCCTGGTAGGCCTAAGAACTCAATTCACATGACTGATACCAAAGTCTAATATATCCATATCAGCCTGGATAGCTCTGGGGAGTTTCTGGGTCTCACCCAGAAAATGGTGTTTCATTACATTCAACTTTTTTTTTTTTACTTTTTCAATATTACTTATACTGTAATTATTATGTAATATTACTTATACTGTACTGTAATATGATTTAAATATTTTTTATTTTTTACATGCACTCTTTGATGAATCAACACATCTTAAATACTTTTCAGGTTCTAAACCGAATACAAGTGCAGGGTAAAGGTGGTGGAGGGTCAGTTGGTGGTGGCGGAGGAGGACTCTCTCTCAAATTACTTGGGTCTGGCCAGGCTGGGGTAGCAGGTGCAAGATCTACCTTTGTTCTTCAACAGGAGAAGGAGCCCTCCTGACCTCCTGGGGCAGGGGGTCAACCCTCTTCAGCCCTGCCCATAAGTCTCTCACCAGGGGGAACAGAAGGGTTCCAGGGGGGACCAACACAGCCCTCGCCCTTGCCTCAGGTGGCAACTGTTGCTGTACCCTTCTGGAGCAATAGGCCTGTGTGCCACAACAACAACAATAACAACAACTATGTAAAAGTACGTCCAGCTGGTGTCTGGCCTCCCACCAGTGGTGGAACAGTGCGAGTGACCCAAGTAGAACCTTCGGCCAAGTCCAGCATAGCCATGGCCACCAGCGGAGCCAGTATGACAATGACTGGAGTGACTGACATCGGGGATATGATACCCCCTGTGGCCACATCCAATGCTCAGGTTCTGGTACCCAATGATACCCCACTCTTAACCCAAGATGGACCATTGTACAACAGTGGCACAAAGAGCCCATCTCTACTATGTGTAGTTCTTGATGATTGAGGGGCCATGTATTTTGGTTGTTCAGTAATATTAATTACATAATTTGTTATAGGTAGACAAGTGTTGCTCGAGCGTGCAGTGATATTGTGAGACAATATCTGTTCTTGTGTGATATGTAGCTCTTCACTAGTGTGCGCTAGTGAACCATGACAAAACAGAGACGAACAGAGGCAATAGTGCAGTTACATAGCAGGCCCTCCTATACGCTTAAATTTTGTCTCTTGTGTGATACAAGTGCATGCTGAAGAGACTTTTTTTTTGTATTTATCTGTGATGTTTTGTATTCTGGTGAGCTCTGGCAACCAGACTAGGGAGTGGGGGACACATGGGTGGGCAACAGCTCAGCTTGACCGTGCAGCTCACGTGTTGGTGCTCGGCCCGACACTCCTACATGGTTCACACTTGGAAATTTTTGATGTTTTCAAGTACTTGGTGGTTCTTTTTACCACACAATGTAATATAATATTCTAGTCTTGTTTGTTAATACTGTACTTGTTTTCTTTCTCTTTGTATTGGTGTTTTCCCCCCATTATTTTTCTTTCATACACACTGCCATCCTTGCCATCCAATCTTTCATAGGAAAGTCCTGTTAAAAATGTTGATGGTGGTCTGCACACAAACATTCCCTTTGTAGGTGGTTCACACCACGTCTTTTTTTCCTTTTTTTTTTTTTTTTTTTTTTACAAGTTAATCATAGACACTTCAGATTATTTTCAGTACTGTACTTAGTATCATTATAATTTCTTTCAACATTAATCACGTTTTTCTTTCCTTCATAGCAATTTGTGCAATGTAATTTTCTTTCTGAATCTTTGCATGTTATGGTGATCTTTTTCTCTTATCTTTCTTACAACTCTTGGAAAACTGCATTGTAGCAATCAATTTCAATCATAAATTTCAGTGCATGCATATTTTCTTTAATAGCTATATTATGCCCTCTTAATCTTGGTTGAAAGTAATTTACTTCCTTAAAGATCACTAACTCAGTGTTGAGATTAGCTTGCTGCATCGCAATATGTAAATCAAATAAATCAGAAAGAATTTGTCTTGTAGACTGTTTATGAATACCATTGTTGCACGTGTATTAGAGGTGTGAGTAGCTATCATAGAAACAGTTGTAATCATTCCACGACAATGGTACATAATTAAGACATTCAACTGGTGCAATGTGGGGCTACAGGTAGAGTGTAGTGAAATTTGAGCAGGCCTGTGGGAAGGTATCCCTAAAATTCAGTCTGCTTCATAGCTGTCATTGGCTATTAAGGAGGTTTTAGGGATAAAGGTGCTAAGTATAAACTTTTTCCCACTTTGCACATCTAGAATTTGGGTGTATTTTTGGTGTGGATATTATGTTTTTATTGAAATAAGTGAACGTATTTAGTAAGTGCTGTTCGTCTCCCACCGGCCTGCAGAATTTAGGAAACTCCCCGACCTGTGTTTTCCCCCATTTTATTATATTTTGTATAACTTTATTGTTATTTTTCTGATAATTTTAATTTCATTTTATTATTACTGTCATTTCAAAAATTATCCAAACCATTTTTATCAATTCATAGATTTATCCTTTTTTCATCTGACATGTTCACACTTTCATAATGTTGGCTCAGGGACCAAAATATATGACAATTGTTTGCTGGACCGCCACCCTTTCAACATTTTACTAATTTCCTTCTTATTCAGTTTTTACTTCAATTCATGGAATTGTTTGCATGACTTCATTAAACTAACGACCACAGTGAATATGTGAAAGGTATTAAAACAACAATGATTATTGCAGTATGTAGGGTGCAGAATTATTTCTAAATGCAACTTAAAAGTTGGTTGGAAACCAGATAGTGTAGCCCGTCAGACTTATGATATAGCATTATGTGGAGAACTTAGTACCTGCTCAGTAGGTCGTGGAGATGTTTGGTTTTTCAAACGAGGGCAAGTTAGGCAGTTTTGAAGTCATTTAGTGGTAACAAAATTCATAAGATGCTGATATTACTGTAGTGGTTGTAGTTGAAGGCTTCATTTTATATTGAATGGAAAATTTTAAATTTTCTGGAAGTCAATTTGGTAATTAAAGTTTTACTTTGATCTTGAATATTGCATATATTGTGCACTGTGTGTTCTCTATGTCCATAGTATACCTAAAATACCTTTTATAAAGGTATGGTGAAAGTAATAATTAGGATTTATAAGCGAGATTAAAGTTAATAGAAACGGTGAAAGTTTTGGTTGTGTTTGAGACAGTGAGAGATGTGTTGTTGTGCTTTTATGTCTATAGAATCTCAGTGTAGAGGACCAAGGTGATGTCTGCCGCACTTCAGGTTGGTCTATGTGTTTTCCCAGTAATCCAAACTTTATAGTTCTCATAAGTTTTTGATACGGTAATGAAGTAGCTACCCGACATGCTCTTTACTAGTGTAGGGTTAGTAAGCCAAGATTTTTTATTTTTACTGCCTGAATTAATGCAGGCCAAAGACCCATGATTAACTTATTTTATGTTTGTGTTGTCTACTGAATATCATTTACACATGAATATTTAAATATACATAATTATCATTAGTGAATTATAAGAGTTGTACGAATCTCATTAATCTATGGCATTTTACTACAGTTTTTTGACAATCAGTAGATTGAATATCATTAATGGTGTAACGGTCTTTAAGATTTTAGATATCAAATTTTCGTGTTGAATGGACAAAATTATTTTAACCCTGCTTTTCACAGCTGTTCGCTTGCAGTCAGTTTCAAACATGGCTCTTAAAACTTTGACACTAGCTCTTATTCATTTAGAAATGGTTAAATGTTTTGATGGTGCTTATTATAATATCAGAGAAATATTTTCATTAAAAAGTATGACTTACTGATTTAATATATTGATTTGCAACTTCAATAAAGAAATATTAAAAAATTGCAAAAAGCAACATTAACATATTTAATAGTTTGGCAATAATTTCAAGAAAAGATCAGTAATATGTCATTGCGCTTACTTCCCCTATGCATAAGTGTTGCCAAGACAACACTTGTGTTGCACAGGTATTAGCAAGTACTTTGGTTGTTCTTGTAGACCGTTTATCACGTCGGTGGCTGTTCTTTAGGTTCTTCATGTTTTTAAACAAACTTAGTTGTGCTTTTGAAGTATTTTGGAAAGATTTTATAAAAGTGTAATGCAGTGCAGACTTGCTATGATAGGCTTCTTGTAATGTTATGTGAGTCTTTTTTTTCTGAATGATGCTTCACACACTTACAAACAACATAGTCATTGATCATTATCAAAATTGTTTATATGTATACACTCTACTTGTAATTTTTACTTTCATATCCACAGTGAATAAGATTATAGACAAGGTACAAATGTGACATTCTGGACAACTTTGAGCTCCCTTTGGCAGTACTTGAATAGGGTGCAGTATCTGAATGTTCATTGTAAAACAAAAAACTATATTTGGGTACTCGGTGCTCAAAGTTACCCATTTTGTTGCACTCCCAGTATTATCTACCACTTGTTCTTAACTCTTGTCACTTTCATCTCTGTCATAATATATTTCCATCACAGTTATTTTTTTGAGATACAAAGCATTTTACTTCCATGTCTACCAGAATGTTAAGAGATTACCCCTCTCTTCTATACTATTCCTTGAACCACTTGTGCTACCTACACTCACTGCTGTCAATAGTATCTTCAATGTTTTGATCCCTCGGTAACTCGGTCATCCTACAGCTCTTTCCCTCCCCCTCTCTACCACCACCACCCCAGCTCCTCTACCACCACCCCAGCTCCTCTACCACCACCCCAGCTCCTCTACCACCACCCCAGCTCCTCTACCACCACCCCAGCTCCTCTACCACCACCCCAGGTCCTCTACAACCACCCCAGGTCCTCTACCACCACCCCAGGTCCTCTACCACCACCCCAGGTCCTCTACCACCACCCCAGCTCCTGTACCACCACCCCAGCTCCTCTACCACCACCCCAGCTCCTCTACCACCACACTAGCTCCTCTACCACCACCCCAGCTCCTCTACCACCACCCCAGCTCCTCTACCACCACCCCAGCTCCTCTACCACCACACTAGCTCCTCTACCACCACCCCAGCTCCTCTACCACCACCCCAGCTCCTCTACCACCACCCCAGCTCCTCTACCACCACACTAGCTCCTCTACCACCCCAACTCCTCTACCACCACCACCCCAACTCCTCTACCACCACCGTCCCAGCTTCCCTACCACCACCGTCCCAGCTCCTCTACCACCACCGTCCCAGCTCCCCTACCACCACCGTCCCAGCTCCTCTACCACCACCGTCCCAGCTCCTCTACCACTACTGTCCCAGCTCCTCTACCACTACTGTCCCAGCTCCTCTACCACCACCGTCCCAGCTTCCCTACCACCACCGTCCCAGCTTCCCTACCACCACTGTCCCAGCTCCCCTACCACCACCGTCCCAGCTCCCCTACCACCACCGTCCCAGCTCCCCTACCACCACCGTCCCAGCTCCCCTACCACCACCGTCCCAGCTCCCCTACCACCACCGTCCCAGCTCCCCTACCACCACCGTCCCAGCTCCTCTACCACCACCGTCCCAGCTCCTCTACCACCACCGTCCCAGCTCCCCTACCACCACTGTCCCAGCTCCCCTACCACCACCGTCCCAGCTCCCCTACCACCACCGTCCCAGCTCCCCTACCACCACCGTCCCAGCTCCTCTACCACCACCGTCCCAGCTCCCCTACCACCACCGTCCCAGCTCCCCTACCACCACCGTCCCAGCTCCCCTACCACCACCGTCCCAGCTCCTCTACCACCACCGTCCCAGCTCCTCTACCACCACCGTCCCAGCTCCTCTACCACCACCGTCCCAGCTCCTCTACCACCACCGTCCCAGCTCCTCTACCACCACCGTCCCAGCTCTCCTACCACCACCGTCCCAGCTCCCCTACCACCACCGTCCCAGCTCCCCTACCACCACCGTCCCAGCTCCCCTACCACCACCGTCCCAGCTCCCCTACCACCACCGTCCCAGCTCCTCTTACCATCTTGTAATCCTTTTGCTTTCTCTCTGTCACCATCCTTTTAATTTTCATTATATCTCCCTCATATCTTTTGACCAAACTACACTATAGCTGAGTACTTCCTGTTTATCCTTGAGACATTATTGGGTGAGTATTAGTCAATCTGAGCTATGTAGAAAGTTTGTAAATAAAAGAAATTATGTACCAGTTGAACAACTTTTGAACTGTCATATCTTGTTTCTACATAAAAACAATTTATACCTTTTTAATCATGAATTTAATCTGTTGAAATTTGTTTTAAATCATCACAGTCACCTGTTTACCCATTGATGGTATGCAGTAGTTTTACATAACAAAATTAAAGTAGTGATTTGATTGCCTAAACTCTTGAAGCCATTATTTTGTTATGTATTGTTCATCACACTGGCTCAAGAAAGGCTTTGATGTTCCTCTCTCTACCCTATTAGCAGAGATACTTGGCAGACCATGAAGAGTAGCTGTACAGTGCATCTCAATAATAGGATTCTAAAGGTGGCCCACCTGCTTTATATTCACAAAAACGAGTATACTGGAACTCAATTTTCCCGTGCGTCTTTCGATATGTTGCAATAAGTATTGCACAAGTCCTACATTATAGAAACATAGTGTAGTGTAATGGATCAGGACGAGAGATAAGATGATCATCTTCTTAGAAAGGTTTGTATTTGGTTTTAATTAAGGAGCCAGCATCCCTATATTATATTGAGACCAGTTAGGCTCTTGATTATATAAAATATTGTAAATACTGAATAATGGAAAACCAGCAAACAGTATTGCAGAACCTCTATACATTTCCTTTGTCTTCATAACTGGTTTTTGCACTTTTGTTTTATTTTACTCTTTGTATCGAATGCAGAAGACGATACTGTATCAATTATTTTCAGTACCATAATTATAAGTTGAGGGACATGAATGTCCGGCCCAGATTTGTTTATACAATCCGTGAGGGTTGGCAAGGAGTCAGGATGGCAGGGACAATTGCTTGAGACATTTCTTTCTTCTCTTGATCTGTTTGGTCTCCTGCCCCAAAGATTACAGGTAGACTAATGAATATAGGTTGTGTCAAATTCTGCTTGATGTTTCGGGTTGCAGCTCTGATATATTGGTATCGCTTTCCTCAGGAATTAATTTATATTTAGTAATAGGAATGCAAGTCTTCAGTCACTTTTAAGCATCTTTGTTAGGATACTCCTAGGCCCAGTGTAAATGTTATTTTCCTGTATGTTTGTTTATGCCTTTATTTTAGGCCTGTTTTCCAAATATGTATAGATGACTTAATTCTCAGAGATTTTTGGAAGAAATGGCTGATATGGCAATTGAAAGAATTTTTGCTGGCTCCTACATTTCTAGATGACTGGTTTGGTTATGAATTAGTACACAGGCTTCATCAAGTGATTCAGTGAGAAATAAGTAAATAGAGGTTATAATTAGCCAAAAAATACAAAAATAAAAGTCATAAAATTAATATGTGCTGTATACGACTTGCCACCCTTCATAAATCAAGTTCAAATTGCCCATGTCTCTTCATATAGATTTACTGACCTAGCACAAATTTCCTCTTCGTAGTGTAGCACATGTATTCTGAAATAACACTTACGGCTATTAGCAAACAGCCCCTAATAATTTGATGTTGCAGTAAGCATTGGAGGTATGTAACATTAGATATTTGGATGTGTGTTTCAGAATGCAAATATATTGTAGGCCTTGCTGACTTTCCCCTAATACTCTTCTCAATTTCATACCTTTTTTTCACCATGGCAGTGTATTTTCATGTAATTTTAAAGGAGGAGAAATACTTAATATATTTCTGACAATGCATATAGACCTTTTTTGGAATAAAAACTTTTAACAATGTTAAATTGTTGTATTGAGACTTTAAAAAGCATAAAAAAATTGTACATTGCAGTTACTGCTGTTCACCATCTGTGTTCACAAAATGTGACGTGCTTAGCGATTCTGAGCTTGAGATAGCCATGATATTAGGTTCAGTTAGTATTTTGTAGAAAGGAGAGCTGAACTGCATCATAGTCTTGTCCAAGGCTCACAATGGCTGATCCCGTAATCAAAGTTCAATCCCTGTTCCTTCATTCATATCTAGTTCCAAATGTCTCGCTGTACAGTATATGGTAAAGGACTATGACTGAAGTGAAGACCATTTATGAATAAGGACTTGTAATTTGTGGTAATGGAGGCCAACGGAGGTGGATGGATGACAAATTCTTTAAGTAGTCTATCATCATTAAGTAGCAATCAGTGATCATATAATTATGCTTGTAATGTACAATTCATGTTGTTGAGTAATTTGACATGTATCTACTACAATCATTGATAAAAAAAATCCACAGTACGGTTGTTAGTTGTACTGTTCAGGTCCCTTAGTCTTTGGAAGCTTTTTTTTCTCTCCGTTTTCAGCTAATGTGGACGCAAGTGAAAGCATCCGATTACTAAGGGATTATATACCGTGTTGATGTTTCAGGTAATTTGGAGAGTCTTCAGGTATTTCCTCACTGATTACATATTTTGTGGGATGTGTTTTTAATAATAACCCGCCTGATGTTAGACCAAAATGAATCCCAAGTTGTCAATACCTTTCTATGAAAAGGAATAAAAATATGCTGTGTAAGAATGTAAAAAATAGAAATAATTGTATTAAATGCTCAGAAACCAATCTCATTAACAGTGTGTATGGTTGTAAATTATTGTAAATGAATTAAATAATTTATAAATAAACTGATTCTCATTTCTTTTGGCTTTAATTACAATGGTACAGTATGTGATCTATATTAATTCAGTTGTACCAATGTTTGTCAGCAAGATGATCATGGTTTTAGTTTATATTGTCAGGCTATAAATGTGTTCCTAATATCAGTTTTCACACATGCACACACACACACACACACACGCACATGCGCACAAAGGCTATAGGCCCAGATAGAATCTCACCGTGAATACTGAAGGAAGGAGCAGAAGGTCTGTGCCTGCCGCTCTCCATAATGTATAACAAATCATTAACAGATGAATTTGGAAGTTGGAATTCCAAAAATTTGGAAGACAGCTAATGTAGTCCTGATATTCAAGAAGGGTGATAGACAGCAGACACTGAACTACAGGCCAGTGTCCTTAACTTGCATACCATACAAGATGGAGAAAATAGTGCAAAAAAGCTAGTGAAACATCTGGAGTGAAAGAATTTTGAACACATCAGCAGCATGGGTTCATGGATGGCAAATCATGCCTTATAGGATTAATTGAATTCTATGGCCAGACAACAAAAATCAGGCAAGAAAGAGAAGAGTGGGCAGACTGCATATTTCTGGATTGCCAGAAAGCTTTTGACATAGTACCACATAAGAGACTATTGCACAGGTAGGAGTGACAGGGAAGATACTCCACTGGATAAGGGAGTACCTAAGCAACAGAAGACAGCAAGCCACTGAGGGGTGAGGTCTCAGATTGGAGACCTCACCCCTCAGTGGGGTGAGGTCCCATAGAGATCAGTCCTTTGACCTATACTGTTTCTGATATATGTAAATGATCTCCCAGAGGGAATAGACTTGTTCCTCTCAATGTCTGCTGATGGTGCAAAAATTATGAGGAGGATTAAGACAGAGGAAGACCGTATGAAGCTACAAGATGACCTAGACAAGCTGAAGGAATGGTTCAACAAATGCCTAATGAAGTTCAACCCAAGTAAATGTAAGTTAATGAAACCAGGTGGAAGAAATAGAAGACCAGACACGGGATACCAAATGGGAGATGAAGTCCTTCACGAACTGGACAGAGAGAGATCTAGGAGTTATCGTGCCAAACCTGTTTCCTGAAGCCCACTTCAAAAGAATAACATCGGCAGCGTATGCGAGGCTGGTTAACATCAGAACTGCTTTCAGAAACCTTTGTAAAGAATCTTTCAGAATCTTGTTTACCACATATGTAAGACCAATCCTTGAGTATGCAGCCCCAGCATGGAGCCCATACCTTGTCAAGCACAAGACAAAACTGGAAAAAGTTCAGAGCTAGTCCCAGAACTGAGAGGCATAAGTTACGAGGAAAGGCTGCGTGAAATGCACCTGATGTCGCTGGAAGACAGAAGAGCTTGGGGAGACATGATCACCACATACAAAATAAAAAATAAAAATTTGTTGAATCACCCTTGACAAAGTAAATTAAAGCTTGTTAAGTTTAAAAGGAGACAAATATTCACATAGCTGTTCCACAATCCATATATCTAAGTGTCTATGGAAAGCAATTGAGACAGATGGGGGGGGGGGTGACAGAAGTCTAGAAATCTCAAACTACCAAGTGTGCATCTTCTGGAATTTAGAAATATGCCGACTGCTTTCTAATTCGGACCTCGGTAACCCGAATCTTTGGGAAACTACTAAAATGGCTTCCGAGTTTGGCCATCTCTTGTTTGGACATTCTGTACTATTGAGCTTACATTCATTTTCTGACCAGGGGGAGAAAGATACTGGCAGTATGGGGCGTTAAAGTTTATTGAAGATTAAATTCTGCAGAACATGTAAATATATAAAGTTCACATAAAGTAAGTAATTATATAAAGTTTATATTAAACACGGTTTATATTATAGACTTAACAAAGTTGATATTATATAAAACTTAATAACTGAATAATGAGCATCAGCCCATGTTTACAAATACAGTAAAAATTCCTTAAATTTAGTAAAAATTGTATCAAATATTGCAACAATTATTGCTGGAAATACCTGCATTTCCCTTCTAAAATATATTGACCTGTCCCAACCCTGTTAGCCGTGACGTGTTTCTTCCTTCTTGTATAAGGTACTGTATCTTTTATTAAAAATTTAATAATAATATATTTTTTAATATTTTGTAAATAAAATTTATTATTATTATTATTATTATTATTATTATTACAGCCCATCCTCCTGTTTAGATAATACTTACAGTAACGATGTGGACCATTGTTATATATATTGACGTAATGAAAGTAGAATTTGGTGCTAATTTATTTGGACAAACCGGAAGAGATTTTGTATTTATGTTGTTAATGAAACCTACGATAATCTTATTGTCCTAGGCCTAATATACACTAGCTGAGGACCAATATAGTACATATATGTGCTGTCAGAACAACCCGTCCTCTTAAATATAACGTTGATTTTCGTTCGTATGCGCGCTATTGCCAAAAATGGACTTTACAACCTAGCGTGGTACCAAATGCTTCTAACTAACTTTCTATTACGTCAACATATATACGATGATCCACATAGTTACAGATAGTACTATTTAAACAGGAGTATGGGTTCATAATTCTGAAGGTGTCCCCATTATTTCTAAGGATTTTTTCAAGCTGAATTTTAAACTGTAGTAATGTCTTTGCATTTTGTATCGCTTAATATCTTGCTCGATCTTCGGCTTTATCTTTTAAAAGAGTGTGTTTAGGTTGGAACACACAAGCTGGGCCATGGATATTTCTCCGAGATCACATCGTAGGTCTATGGTTCAAGGTCACGTGATGTAATTATCTATAAGTTAGGTCATTTCAACGTGAAAATTAGATTTTGCTCTTGGAATAAGGAAATGATAAAAAGAGTACAATTAACATAGAGAAGAATACTTTATTTTAGATGGCTAAAATACAATGAAACATATGATACATATATTTACAGCTCTAAATATATTTAATTCTTGTTTTCCAGAAGAATATCTGAATATAGCCTGTGGACCTCGAGGACTGCGAGCACTAATCTACATCTATATATAATAGATATAGTTACTTCGTTTGTCTAATATTCTATATCATAATTAATTGGATGAGGCTGGAACCCAATTCTGGCCACACTTCCCTCTAACCCGGCATAACTCTCCATCAAATCCACCTCCATGCAAAGGTTCTATTAATTCTTTTGATATTATTTAAACTACATTTAATTTTGCTCAATTTAATCAAATACTTTTTTTACCGAAAATATTTAACCCTATACACAATGACTAACAATAAGGTGACATATCTGGGAGACGATCTTTGGAGAGGACGGCAGGATGAACTCTGCGTCTTGGGTCACCCCACTGTACTGTATAGTAGTAATAGCTTAGTGCTTTCTACTGATAATAGCCAACCTGCGTCTCCCCAAACAATGATGATTAGGAACAACGAGATAAATGTGTACGTGTGTGTGTAAATCACGAAAATTAACACGTGATGAAAAATGTGACAGTGTCAGACCACGAAGGAAGAATTGAATTGAAACAGGAATTTTCTTAAGTACTTTCGTATTTAATAATACATCTTCTTCAGGACTCTCGACAAAAATCGAGAGCTTTAATGTTGTTTGGGGGTGTGACGAAATTAGGCACATTCTTGGTGAATGTCAAGAATTAAGATATATCTCATTCATAGTGTTTGTTATTAATTACTTACATTATTGTCGGATATTATGGAAGGATGAAGTTAAGAGACAGGACAGGATGAGAGAGAGAAGCCGGGGGAATGGCATGGCAAGACACGTGTCTGGAGGGTGGAGGGAAGGACATGGAGGGTACCGGATGAAGGGGGCGAGGCTGTCTCACTGGAAGCCTTGGATCAGAGCCTCCAGGGCGGGTGTGGCACAGGCTAGCCTCTGTTGATTGGTGAGGAAGTCTTACCTCTCATAATTACGATTCTACGTAACTCACAAGTCGTTCTACGGAATTTAAAAAAAAACATGATGCACATTCGTTTCACACAAAACAACTAAGAGCAGGTCGGAAGATTCATGAATGTGGCTTTCAGGGCGCGGGTGGGTCCTTGATCAGGCGTCCTAGGTGACTTCTAGGGCGCGGACGGGTTTTTAATCAAGAGACATATGTGGGAAAGGTGAAAGGCAGGAAAGAGGCGATGATTCCTTTGTGATGAGGTAGTATAAAGGCTAGTGTTTTGTGAAGAAGCAAAGTATTTACAGCAAAAGTATATGCTACAGCTAGCGATATGCAAGCATTCAACATTGCACGATACTGGACGGACAAAGCAGACGCAGTCATTTTATGTAGTACAACAAAATGATTTTAAAGGCAAGAATTGATGATAGTGTATATAAATGATCCACGCAAATGAGAATAGAAGCTGTCATTAACTGGCACTGATAAACTTGGCCTTGGTAAGACCCCGTGGTGAAAAATGTAGGCCTATGGTATGCTCTGTAGCTTCATACTCTATGTATTAATTTTTTTCAACAGATAAGAGACAATAAATACAATTCATTAGCGTTGATAATCAAGTAGTAAAAGTGAGCGTCCCAGCGTGGGAGAGCTGCGTAGAGACGTGGACGCTGCGTAACTGGGTCAGCCAAGGCGTGAGGCTACTGCAAACATCGAACTTGAAGGGACGCCTCGCAGCTGACCCGACCAGCTGGGCCCGCTTGGTGCTCGCACGAAAGTAAAAGTTATCTGGATCATGGCCGTTTATTGCCATCAGTCTCCCTCTACACGTGCACGGTCGAGATGTAGATTGTGTAATGTTATTCATTATTGAAATAATAACGCATTTCGATTAGCAAGTGAAATAAAGGGAAGAATGGCTGATGAAGTAAAGTATGTTTGTAAACATCTTAAAAATTGTTTGAACACATTATATGATGTAAACAAAACCTCATTATTTTAACTATTATCCAAAGGAGAAAACACTCTCCATAGTCTATATTAATCCAGAGTTAACAACTGTTTGAAAGAATCAGAGATTGAACTGATTGAAGAACTTGTCGAACTCATCCGTGGCAGGCGAGCGGCCAGGCTGGTTAATAACTAGTCCCCCAGTGGGAACGGGGGGAAGAGGATTGAACCCAAATCTTTTATTGAGCCCTGGGAGAGGCCGACCTGTTGAGGCTACCGGGGATGCTGCAGCTGAGAGGAAGGGATTTTGTCCTGGAGTGGGAACACTGAAATGATTCGGGGCCGCTGTGGCTGAGAGGAAGGGATTTTGTCCTGGAGTGGGAACACTGAAATGATTCGGGGCCGCTGTGGCTGAGAGGAAGGGATTTTGTCCTGGAGTAGACACACCGAAGTGATTCGGCGCTGCTGAGAGGGAAGGATTCCGAGCTGTATTGGATACGCCGAAATGATTCGGTGCTTGGACACGGACAGTTTTAAAGATACCACTGGCAGCGTCGAACACCAGTTGATGAGCACCTTCGTCTCCCAGCGTGGTGGACCCATCATCTAAAGACAATGGGCGAGTAGTGGCTGAGGGTGATGCTCTTGTTGGGAAGGTTGGTGTAGGCAGAGGCGCTGGTCTGAATGTCGGTGGAGGCGTGGGCCTGAAGGTCGGTGCAGGCGTAGTTGGGGTTAAGCGCTGAGTTACGGCCTTGAAAGATGGTGCTCGGCTACTTTGCTGTGTAACACCGAAGTTACTAAATAGATTCCTGAATTCTTTATCGAAATCGAAAGCAACGGGCTTAGGAGTAGGCCTATCAGTAAAACGCTGAGGTGAGGGAGTATTTATTATCGCAGGATGTATACGTTGGTCAACAAAATGTGGGCTTAGCGTCGGTTCTGCCACTTGCTGTACTGAATCTTGGGCAACATTCCTATGTGGTTCTTGGAATGAAGAAGCTTTGAACTGGTTGAATGAGGCTGGTGTGGTGAAACGACGGGAGGGTGCAGGGGTCACAGTATCAGGTTCCAAGAAGTCCTGAGTCTGCTGTGGAACAGGTTGTAGGGCAGTCTGAGACTGCTGTTGTCGTCGGCGGTTATCACTAACAAATGTCTGCTGTACTTGCTGCCTTACTGGCTGTATTTGCTGCCGTACTTGCTGCTGTACTGGCTGTAGTTGCTGCTGTACTTGCTGCCGTACTGGCTGTACTTGCTGCCGTACTGGCTGTACTTGCTGCCGTACTGGCTGGCGCTGAGGTCGCTGTTCCTGTGGTTGTGGTTGATTCACTGGACGGCGTCGATGACTGAATTGTATTTGGCTAAGTTCTTCTTCAGTAAGAGGTTGTTCCACTGTTTGTTGAAGAAACTGGTCATTAGGCTCCAGGCGGGGTGCCTCCCCATTATCTGGGTCAATCACTGCATTTGGATCACACCTGTTACCAGATGTATAAGAGAACTCCCGCCGTACACCCTCAGGATCAACATAGCCATATTTGCCTGTAACGATACAATCAAGACCTCTTTTTTCTTCCTTGAAGGAGCCATCTGCTGCTTCATAACCAAAGACGTAGTTGCCTTCTTTGTCATAGTACGCGTAACGATTAATGGTTTCAACAGTAGGTTTGGTTGTTCGATCCACACCGGCTCTCTGGAAAATCGGCTCAGAGCGAGAATCTACTTCAAGACCGGGTGTGAGAGCACGATGGGGTTCTAAGTCGAAGTCGGATTCTTGGTTCTGTTGGAAGAGTGATTTGGTTCGCTGGGGCTTTGGGAAGGATTTAATTTGTTGGGGCTGTTGGAAGGAATTTATTTGTCGGGGGTGTTGGAAGGAATTTATTTGTCGGGGCTGTTGGAAAGGTGATATAGTTCGTGGGGTCTCTTGGGAGGGCGATATGGTTTGCTGCGGCTGTTCGAAAGCTGATAACGGTTGTTGAGGCTGTTCAAAGGCTGATATTGATTGTTGAGGCTGTTGGGTGACTGGTGTGCGTTGTGGGGACTTGATTCTGAGTCGAGGTCTGGCTGTGGCTTGTGTTTGATCAATCGCGTTATTGAAAACGGGCGCCTCTGTTGGGAGTTCATCTGGAAAATGTTCAAACACGGGCGCCTCGGTGATTGGGTCGACATTCGGTTCAGGAGTCACCTTGACTGGGGAGAGTGTGGGGGTAAATACAAGTGAAATTGGACGGAATGTGGTGGGTTCCTGGGCTACAGGACGAGGTATACGGACTCGCGTTCGTCGCACTGGAATCTTCACACGAGGACGTGGTGTTTCTTCTACCGGAGCGGGTTCAGCATTTTCAAATTGTGGTTCTTCGGGGACGACTGGAAGTTCAGTTTGTTGTTCAGTTTGTACGCGCTGTCGAGGCCGGTTACGGCGTCTGGATTGTAAGATCTGTTTGGCCGATGTGTCGCCATTGCGGGCAGCGTCAGCAAGGGCACGAATCCTGGCACGGGCTTCTTTCCTTCTGGCTGGTTCTTGGCCGGAGACCACGACCACCGCCAACACCACCAACAGTACCTGCAAGAAACAGTGTCAACAGTTAAAGCAGTTATATCGAAAATAATTTAGTCTACTCTGTATGTAAATATGTTACCAAATAGCCTGAGATAAAAAAAAATTGTTATTGGTCCAGTAGCTGGCGCAGGGGGTAATGGGGCAGCCAAGTGAGGAGTTAATAACACCAGCGTCACATCAATTACTTGGACTAAAGTACACCATCACACACACGGCATGAGTGTCCCGCTGCAATAAAGTCATCCTGTTACAGCCCCGCTCCTGTGCCAGGTAAGTCCACTACGGGGTCACCGTAGTCCATGTTACCTGGAATGTTTTGGTCCCAGTACCTGAATCTAATACAACAACCCTCGGGGCAACAACAACAACCCTCGGGGCAACAACAACAACCCTCGGGGCAACAACAACAACCCTCGGGGCAACAACAACAACCCTCGGGGCAACAACAACAACAACAACCCTCGGGGCAACAACAACAACAACAACCCTCGGGGCAACAATAACCCTCGGGGCAACAATAACAACCCTCGGGACCAAATTCAAACTTCGAAATAATTTGGCGCAACCTATGGGAACCTCTCGCTTGTCTGAGGAACGTTTTCTTCACCAACTTCACATCAATATAACTGAAGTCATTAAAATTAACTTTTGTTACGGGCTCACTATAGCCCGTGCTACAAGGAAATTTTGTTCAGAGTAGCTGAACCTAAAACAACAACAAGGAACATTTGTTTGTTTGAGGATAATGATGGCGGACTACATGGAGACTGACCCAGTATTCTTCACATATAAGACGACTGGGCGGGGAAGAGTTAAAGCGTCCTAGGTATGGTTAAGAACTTAAGAGACAGGCATCGTAGAGTTAAGCTCACATTTAATGAAACCTGGTGTTGGCGTCTCTTGACTCGTGACAATAACGTGTAATAAGAACTCAATCGTGGCACTAATGGGTAACAAGGACTCGACCGTGGCACTAATGGGTAACAAGGAATCAACCGTGGCACTAATGGGTAACAAGGACTCGACCGTGGCACTAATGGGTAACAAGGACTCGACCGTGGCACTAATGGGTAACAAGGACTCGACCGTGGCACTAATGGGTAACAAGGACTCGACCGTGGCACTAATGGGTAACAAGGACTCGACTGTGGCACTAATGGGTAGTAACAAGGACTCGACCGTGGCACTAATGGGTAACAAGGACTCGACCGTGGCACTAATGGGTAACAAGGACTCGACTGTGGCACTAATGGGTAACAAGGACTCGACCGTGGCACTAATGGGTAACAAGGACTCGACCGTGGCAGTAATGTGTAACAATGACTCGCACGAACACTTGCAAGAAAGTATTAACAACGAGTCATAAGACAGCAGAAGAAACACATCAGATCGACTATTATAATTAAATTAAACTCATTTAGTTAGAGGCAAGTGTAGGTGAGGTTGTGGTGGAGGACCTACGTACCCTCCATGGCCTCCCGTCCCGGCCTCGCCCTCCTGTCTTCCCTCTAAGGTCAGGAGTCAAGTTCATGCATCAACAACCGGTATCATTTCCGTATCACCCCAACATCCCGCTGATGCAAGAACAAGTATTATAACCTTGTCTGACACGAGTTTCAAGGCTGGTCAATGGCTCACCTCGGCTCTGGTATTCGATTAGTCTAGTTACTTTTATTAACCCAAAGATGCTTACATTATTTATACAAATTAAACATTTCGAGGGTCAGAAAAGAATTCCAGCGAGAATGGAATGGGTTGGGTGTGGCTACCGGGCCCCAAGGTCGCAAGGTTGGGAACGGGGCGGAGGCTGTGAGGGCTCTGCGTGGTGAAGGGGAAGGAGGGGTTTTCCTGAGAATGGAAGTGTACCAGTTCCAAATACAATTGGGGGGATTGACTAGCGCCAATCCTTAACTGGTCGCCTCTGTTCACCCAGCAGTAAGTGAGTACTGGTTGTTAAAGTATTAGCGGGTCGTATTCCAGGGAAACTATGTAAATAAGGTTTACCATGAGCTACGGATGGAAAAGCTCTCAGTCTCTTAATAGAAATAATCAGTATCCTGTACCCACCTGTGTAAAAAATATTTAAAAAATAAATTGGAAGATATCCTCATGAAATATGGAGAGACCTCAGACAAGCCACCGGCTTTGTGTCCCATTTGAGGCCATCAAAAATGGTGGTCCTCAAGTAATTTCAGGTAAGTCTCTCACCCCAGCCTCGGCCAGGACTGGGTAGCCTTTTTTGAGAGAAAGTTTTTCTGTGCTGCTCTTCTCTTGCTGTTAGTGTCGAGAAGAATTGAGCCGATAGCCTGGTACACGGTGCAGTGGTGTAGCACCAGCACGGGGACGGCACCTAGCCTCTATTCCTCTTCTCCCATTCTCTCATGCATTCATCTTCCTCTCCATTCGCTATACCGATACAAATGATTTCATATTTTTTTGTCTTTCTGTTCCGGAACTTTAAAGATAACCATTAGTTCCCATTTTAAAACTTGTCAGTTCAATCTTAGCTCCCCAAGTCTCTTTTTTTTAATATTTGCTAGGCATATCCGAGAGGGAAATATTTATTTTTGTCTTGTTCATAAATACCGTGTAAATATTTTTATTTACACTTTTTTGTGTAACATCTGTAGTTTATGAATTCAAATTATTTACATTTACGTGAAGCATAAATTTGATTATATATTCATAAAAGGAAGCTTTATATGAAACTGAGTGACAATATCTCTTTTGGATAGTTTTATTTTGGTCGTGATGTCTTCATGTGTGTGATGGCGCAAGAACGAATGAGCAAAACGTTGTCAAATTACTACACACACACATTTCCTAATGGCAAATAATGGGAGGTAATAGCGGTACTACACGGTAATGTACTGCAAATATAAATTAGCCTCATGCAATTGCTTCGTCGAAAGAAATATAATTGACGAGCATGGATCCATGATGCAATTGGAGCATTATGGCTCCACTTGCAAGATCAATAAAGTGTTTAATTTTTTTCATACTTCATAAATCTCACAACCAACGTCGCTCATATTTCTTCTATGATTACACATATCTATATAGTGATTGTATTGGGTGTATAACGTAAGAATTTTAGAGTAGGTATATATACAATTTGTGATAGGTTTTTATCCCTCGTGAGGCTATGTAAGGCTCAAGCTGTGTATTGCAAAACCGTATTTTTTTTAGTTTACCTTCATCTGTTTATGTATTTCAAGCTCTAGACAGTGTTAAATGAATAACAGGCGAATTATTATATACACTTTGTTGATTGATTGTAAACGATGCATTGAATATTATACAGTTATATGTTACGCGTAATTAGCGACTTAGTGAGTACCACAGAAACCTACTATAATTATTCACTCTTATAAGCTCATTTGAATTTTTTTAAATAATATTTATTATTATTTATTATTATTATAATTTTTATTATAATTACTGTTATTATTACTACTTATCGTCTATGAAGGTATCGGTAAGCCTCGGTCGACTGTTATTTTCCCAGAGTGCTCAGTGTGCGCCTATGGTCGTGTGCGTGTGGTCGTGTACACCTGGTCGTGTACACCTGGTCATGTGTGCCTGGTCGTGTACGCCTGGTCGTGTGTGCCTGGTCGTGTACGCGTGGTTGCAAGCCATTAGCGTAGTGTGGTGGTTCACTGTGCGTGTAGTGGTGGAGGGATGTGCTTAACGAAGAGGTCACAGAGGCGGTATATACACAACTCCCAGAGTAAACATGATACAGTCTTATGTAATGGTGAGTGGAGTTGCTTCAGATAGTCTAAAGAGATCACGCGAATTTAAGTTACATTTTCCTCCTTGCAAGCACTATTAGGTAAAGACAACAAACGCAATGTTGCACTATATACTTGACTGTGGAGAGAAGGCTTCTAGAAGAGCTATTCCTCCCTGCATGAAAGTACTATTAGGTACTTTCAGGAATCTATTATACGTAAGCGATAGAACAGTCATTTCGACGAACTCCTGTTAGTTCCAAAGGTGGGGCTTAGCAGCTGACGCTCGATCCTTCAAGTACATGTAGGTGAGTACACAATTGTTTTCCTTGTCATCAGTCAACCACCAATTAGTGACAGGTCTACGGCTGACTGTCACACAGTGTACGGCTGACTGTCACACAGTGTACGGCTGACTGTCACACAGTGTACGGCTGACTGTCACACAGTGTACGGCTGACTGTCACACAGTGTACGGCTGACTGTCACACAGTGTACGGCTGACTGTCACACAGTGTACGGCTGACTGTCACACAGTGTACGGCTGACTGTCACACAGTGTACGGCTGACTGTCACACAGTGTACGGCTGACTGTCACACAGTACACGGCTGACTGTCACACAGTGTACGGCTGACTGTCACAGTACACGGCTGACTGTCACACAGTACACGGCTGACTGTCACAGTGCACGGCTGACTGTCACAGTACACGGCTGACTGTCACAGTACACGGCTGACTGTCACACAGTACACGGCTGACTGTCACAGTGCACGGCTGACTGTCACACAGTACACGGCTGACTGTCACAGTGCACGGCTGACTGTCACACAGTACACGGCTGACTGTCACAGTGCACGGCTGACTGTCACACAGTGCACGGCTGACTGTCACACAGTACACGGCTGACTGTCACAGTGCACGGCTGACTGTCACAGTGCACGGCTGACTGTCAGACAGTACACGGCAGACTGTCACAGTGCACGGCTGACTGTCACACAGTACACGGCTGACTGTCACAGTGCACGGCTGACTGTCACAGTGCACGGCTGACTGTCACAGTGCACGGCTGACTGTCACAGTGCACGGCTGACTGTCAGACAATGCACGGCTGACTGTCACAGTGCACGGCTGACTGTCACACAGTACACGGCTGACTGTCACAGTGCACGGCTGACTGTCACAGTGCACGGCTGACTGTCACAGTGCACGGCTGACTGTCAGACAATGCACGGCTGACTGTCACACAGTACACGGCTGACTGTCACAC